TGTTATGTTATCAAATTTAAGGAATAATGTAGGGAGTGGTATACCATTTTAAAATTCTTATTGAATGCGCCAACACTAAAAAACTACATGACTTTTATATTTTTCTGATAACTGTTAGAACCTGGTGCCATTTGTTTGTCGCCTTCAGGAACGCCCTGTATATACCTACCTATAAACATACATATAGACAGGTCAAACTGAGAACCACCTTGTTTTTGAAGTCGGTTAAAAAGGATACTGGATTGACACATCTCAATTTTATTGTAAAAAATAAATTCGTTTGCTTATTAGTGTGACTGATTATACTTCATGTCAATTAATATTAATGTATTAAACTGTCAAACACCAAGCGGTCACCGGTGACCGCAACCTATTGTTCTATAATTGTGTCTACAAAACCGGTACTCGACGAGTTAATATTAAGTAGCCACAGGTAATTAATAAATGTATTACATAAATTAATCTATAAACCTTAACAAGAGATGGCATACAAAATAAATAGGAATACAATTGATTTACCCGGGTAAAGATCGCCAAAATTATAATTGTATTTTGAAGAAGAATTCTTCTTCTTTTTCTTCTTGTCCTTTTCATTTTCCTTTTCTCCTTCCTTTTCCTGCATTCTGCTTCAGATAATAAAATTTTCTAAACAAATATGATAGTTTAATTAAAATAATATGCCGCATAGTTCGCGATCTATGCGGCATATTAACTACAACAACTACAATTAATCTAACCACCAAACTGTTTCTAAGCTGGGTCAAAACCAACTGCTTCTTCGTGCTCTAAGATTCTGTTAAAATGAAACAAATATTGCCAGTTGTATAAAAGATATAATCAGGTTACAAAATAAAACATCAATGAAATTGTTAGTCCTTTTTGTCTTCGGCAAATTTGTCTTGAATAGCCATTTTATGTGAACCACAGCATGCCTTCCCCATTAGAGACATCAACACTTGTTCTTTGTCACAACAGCGTCTCTCTGTGTCTATATTAAATTTGTTGATGCAGCGGAAATCGTGATCTTTTTCGTATTTCATGTACTCCTTTATAGCCTTCTTTATTCTTTCGTATTCCTTGGAACAACACACTTTGCCTTCTTCACTGTAGCTGTATGGTTGGGTTGGCAATTGAGCATTCTTATACATTCTGGCAAAGCCGTCAGGCACTGTGCACGGTCTTCCCAAGATGGGACATGGGCCGAGTTGAATCGGTGGTAAGCCGTATGGCAAAGGAGCTACCTCTTCTTCATCTTCTTCGTTCTTCTTAAGTTCTTCTTCCTCGTGCATCATAGTGACGGGACAATTAACTTTGTGTACATATGAAGGACAGTACGGGCGATGTAATTTCCTAGCCATCATGTTTTCTGTTTCTGATAGACAATCACAATCAAAGGTTTTACAAGGTGGGCCTGGCTTTTTTGGATTGCATTTGCATTCTTTATCGTCAGCTACTTCGCAATTAAAAACTTGCATTTTACGCTTAGGGTCTGCGCTGCCGACACTGGTACCTACGTTGTATGTCATTGCATAATTTGTTCCTGCGCCTGAAGCCACGGCGGTTGACATTCTTCCACTGTGTCTTTGAGCATTATTTTCAACATTGTATATCATCGGGTTGGTGGCTACGCTATACATCGTGGTCTTACTTCCCATAGTCTTGGTTGTTCCCAACTGACGACAACTACACCCACCGTTCGAAGATGGATATTGGTCTTGACGTGCTTTATTGTCGTCATCAACCGAAGTATGAAACTTTGCACAAAAACAATTTTCAACAATAGTGTCTTGTCCAAACAAGCTTTTTTTGTTATCTCTAAATTTAGTAATACTGAAAACATAATTTATTTGCGTGTTACTCGTTTGCGGGGTTGCTCCTGTGCCAAAAAGTTTATCTCTTTTTTCTTCACAGGTGTTACCAGGTTCGGTAGTTCCCTCGCAGCCTTTGCATTTGACCTTAATCTTTGTTGTTTCCGGGCAGGTGTCTCTGTGCCACCGGTCGTCTTTGCAGATACATTTCCCACATACTTTTCTATCATCGGGTAGCTTCATATCCACGATACCCGTGGCTTTTTCCTTATAGCTATCCAGAGCTCTGATATATTTCCTCACTTTATGTGCTAAACTACAACTAGGATTACCACATGGACCTCTGATATCACCCATTCTTATCTTGTCTATTGCATACTTTTTATGAGTCGTTGATTCTATATCAGTGTGATCACACACGTATTGATCCGGTTTGTTAGCCATACCACAGCTTTGCAATTCAGTACACACTTCAATCTTATTTTGTGCTCTATCCAGAATATCTGGGTCTTCTAACGTGGTAGTCTCATATAGAGACCCAACCATACAAAAGTTGGGGTTATCACCTTCTATCCTTTTGCATTCAAACATGCTCGGTGCTTTGTTAGTCCTAAACACAAATGATTCTGGATCTTTCATTAATTGTTGAAATTCCGTAATTATGCTGTTTCCTAAAGCACTCAAACGAAGAATAAAATCAATCTCGCCAACTTGTTTACAGCAACATTCAGCCATCAGGGGAACTTTAGTTTTAATTGACAACGGTTCATGCAACTTACAGGAATCTTTTGTTTCTTTCAACATAAGGAAAAACTTGCTATCCCAGTGCATATTACCAACACCAATGTACGTATTGTTTTCAAGTTCAGTGTCATCGTCGTTCCAAACTTCTACTTCTAACGGAAATTTACTTAATGTTTGAAGTATCGTGTCAGGATGGGAAGGAAAAAGATAAGATTTACCAACTCGTATAGTTCTCGTCCATTGTCTGCGACCAGTTTTCTCTTCAGTTTCGATAATATCGTCTGGTCTCCCGACCACTGCTAATTGACCTTCTTTGACAATAAATTGTACTTTAGGCCCAAAACCAATTTTGATAATAAGGTTCTTATTTCCGGTACCTTCTTCGTCATCCTTTGCAAACACGGTCACTTTGTTTACGAATATCTCAATCAGGTACATTTGCTCCATGACCTGCCGAGTTCAACAGTTTTGTGTCAGAATATTCACATCAGTTCTTGTAACTGAATGGTGAGGAACAATTATTTTTTGTATATTAATTGTAATTGACAAACTTGTGTTCGGTTTCGCGCCTGCCATAAAATAAAAGTAAACAGGAAATACCAATAAAATCTACGCATTTATGCATATTAAATAACTATATGAAAATACTTTTAGAGATATGTGAACACTTTATAAAATGCTCAAATAATATGAAGAAGTTGTTGCCCAAATACACTAACGACAATCAAATTCTGTCACTACAATACACATAACAAAGACAATGTGAAGTACTTAGTGAACAACAATTAGCAAACAAAATACTTACGGAAGATCTTAAATAGTTTTCTTAAACTATGTGAAGTAGACCATCACTATTGGCACTGATAATTTTATTTTGTAACCCGAAATTGTGTGGTGTTTTCTTTATCTTTTATACTACTGACATAATGATGACATTTTGTGATACTTGAAAATAGAAACGTAACCAACGAGATTTTTATAGAAAACACCTTTCTGTCGTTTGACCAGCTTATAAGGCATAATTTGTACTCTTTGGTTCACTAATAGTACGGATTTATATTTAGGCTAATAATTATTATCTTCTGCATGATGTGTTAGCCTTTAATTGATTGTTACACTGGCAAATATATATTGGCTGACTAAATAAACAAATATCGCATTAAAAAACTTCAATAAAATTAATACTAACTATTACTAAATTAAATATATACAACTTAAGATAAAAATAATTTAAATAAAACTAAAAACAACTATTTACATAAAGCATCGAAAAATTCGTCCGCATCGACGCCAGTAGGGTCAGTCGCAACGTCATTTCCACGTTGTATGGCAATGCTTAACCTCTGACCCGAAAAAAGACCAGCCCTCTGGTCACGAGATGAAAATATGTCGCACTAAAACATTGTATTTATACTATTTTCTCCTTATCTTTAGCAGAGTTTGAACTGGGAATTTCATGTCGTTACATCAACGGAGTAGTGATAGAGTTCATTTATAACTGCTCTCAAAAACGTATGGATATTCCAAAATAATAGACCGATACCGACAATAGGAATAAAACTGACAATTAACTCTGTATGCACTGAGAGCGATGAGAGAAAAAAAACTTTAAACTTCGTGTTTTTTACAAGTTTTAACGAAAAATGTATTAAGTTTTAGACAACGCGGAATTCAGTGCTGATGCTGTTTTGGACTTCGCTCACCAAATGCTGTCAGGCAGCCATGGACTCCGAGGATGTCCACTCAGGGTGGCTTGCTGGGCTGCTCAGCAAGAATATACTAACCCTCGGGAGATTATCAATCAAATTGTGAAGTAAGTTAATACCGATTAACTTTTTAGAGTTTAGTACCCTTACATAGTTTCATTCATAGCTAGCTTATTAAAAAAAACTGTAATTATGGAACTAGTATTAAGAGATAAATAGCGTAATTATTTCAACAGTCAGTAGTGTTACACAGTAGCCAATTTTAAGCTGAGTATTCAACTGCACTTATGTAATACAATTATGCTAGTTTGTAGTATCTATCTACATTATGTGCACAGAATCTTAAAAATAAAACTCCAAAATAATCATTGTTCCATAATTTTTCAGCAACAAACTTTTGGCGTCGATGGTGAATTCTTCGGCGGTGGAAGACGCGATGATCTCCGGACGACACGGACGCAGCTGCAGCAGTTACGGCCCGTGCCCTCTCCAGGAACACCATGTACCAATGTTAATGACTAACCTAGCTATACTAACCAATACACCAGGATTCAAATAACATGTTGGAACCTTGTGTTTTGTCCTAAACCAGACTATTCTTACCTCGCATTTATAGATTAATTCATTAATCAGTTCTCCTCTGGGCTAGACTTATAAGCACGGAATATAGAATACAATGGAAGTAGCAAGTAGGCGTAGCACGCGTGCCACAATTAAGCTGTGCACTGCTTACTCGAGGCAAATTCGAGTTCAGTCTCGTTCGAACATGGCGTCGAGTTGCTAGTCTCGTGTCAAATACATATTTCCTCAACTATGCCGTTTTGTTCCGTTTTGGCGTGTAAAAATAATAGCAGCCGAAAAATCGTAAAAATGGAGGTGTTCCGTATCATCGGTAAGTACAATTTTTATTGTTTTCTTGTAGAAATCTTATTTTATTTCAATTTACAAAAACAGTTATTAAAATAATATTATTTACTAAAACGGTTAGTCAAAATCAACCTTACGCCTTCAAGATAAAGTTTATTTTGGATTTATTCCATTCAATAGAACATTCTCGCCAGTTCTACGCTACTCAAATAGTGATGTAGTCAAATCACATATTGAATTTATCGATTGATATCGATGCAAGTGTAATGTAACATTTATTTAGATTATTTTTTTATTATTATTTTAGTGGTGACCCCGACGTGATTGGAAGCAACCTTCACTTCACGGAGCAGATCAGCACCGTCATCCTTATCGCCATCCCTCTCATTTATCACATTATCCATATAAAGTTTGTAAAAATTTATGTAATAGTTGTTACTTATATTGCCTATGTGAAATAAAAAAAATGATTTTTTGAAAAAAGAAACTAATAAAAAATACGAACAAAATGGTTTTTGATTTACATGTAAATAAATACTTACCCTTTTTTGTTACGTTTAAAAAGTTATCAACGACATATTAATTTTATTATTTTAATACTGTCACACTATAGCAGTCAATATTTTTTTTCATATTATTTTTAAAACACATTTTCATATTATCGATATTATTTTTATCGAATTATCCTACATCACTATCTGAGTAGAGACCCGCATTCGAGCCAGTGATAAGCCATTCAAATATCACCTTTATTCTTACAACGTTAAAGTTCAAACCAAGTACCACTTTTCGTCGCTAGATGGCATTGTTAAACGCCATCTAGCGACGAATGGCGGTACTTGGTAGTCCAAAATATACTTTTTTATTTTGATTTATAGTGCATTGGTTTTAAAGTTGCATATCGTATGATATTTTTTTTGCATTTCGTTTACGCCCATTTTTTTTCTAACCAATCGTAATTTCCGATTTATAGTATGAGTAAATTATGAATGTATTAGTTTGGTGACACCGGTTCTGGCAGAAATATTGTTTCAAGCTACTTCCATTGTATTCTATATTCCGTGCTTATAAGAGATTAGGAAAATTAACCAACATTTGAAGTTTCGTCAATGAGCGATAGAAAAAAGATTATCAAGTTTATTAAGATAAGAAAAGATAAGGAGATATCCATAAAATATTGATTGATACTTGTTCTTTTCAATCTCAAACCAAAAAGATCAGCCAGAAAGTGTATCAAACATCTGTAGATTCCTTTTACAATTAAGAGTAACCTGAAATACCGCTTGTAAATAAAAGGTTCCACATTAAAATGTCAGAGATTCTAAGTTATTTGAAGTTTAAGTTATAAATATTATAAGTTATATTATTAAAAAAACAATTTTCGAACAATAAACGACTTTAATAAATGCTACAATGAAATACACTTCACAATACCACCTTAAGAAACGATGTGTGTAGTATTAGTGGCCCAACTATTGCCAGCAACTGTTTGACCACTTTCTCACAAATTTTTGTACCTACCCATTTAAATTCAATATAATAAAACTATTTATGTCAAAGATAATGTACCAATTTTATTTGTCTAAAAATAAACCTCATAATAATATTACATATTAGTTTTTTACCTATGTATTGCGTTTTTGTAAGAATCTTGCAAATCACATTAGAAATAAAGCCAAAACTATAAACTTCACAGACATGTCTAATAAACATACAATTTTATACCACATATAATCTTGTTTCACGTCTTAGCCTTTTATATATAATTAATTAATATACAATAAATAAAGTCAACTCATAATCTCTAATTTTAAACCCAACTTGAATCACGGCACAGGACAAACACAATCCCACAAGCAAGGATAGAAACGAAAATTAATCACAACTGTTGCGCAACTGTGGCGCTACAAAGTCTGAAAGATCAGATCCAAAAGGAAATACTATAATGGTTCAATTGGCGAAGATTTAGTGGAAATATGTGTGAAGGCTCCTCCTGTTGAGTTTCATCACGTAGTCAGCTGGACTGTGGCCGAGGACGTCTTTAGCTCCTTTATCTACCCCCTGTCTGAGGAGAAACTCTGCTGCTTCTGGCCGATTACACAGCACAGCCTGGGGAAAACTTACAAGATTAGCTGATATTGAATATAACATAACATCACGCCTTTTATCCCCAAAGGGGTAGGCAGAGGTACACATTACGGCGCTTGTACACTGACAATTTAACACCAACTTTTCACTATTTATGTTATGAGTCCCATGTAATAGAACCCTATTGCCATATACTGGACACAATTTCAGACTCTGTGGTACTACTGATATTTTTTTAAAAACCAGTAATACTTTTCCCGACTCGGGAATCGAATCCGAGACTCGAGACGCCTTGCAATTACTCGGCCAACGAGGCAGTCTGAAATTGAAATATTAATATATTCAGGTTTGTAGTGACGGTAGGACAGAACACATCTGTACACCACCCTACTCTCCTCGTCGCGGAGAACCTAACGGGTAACCGGGGCTCTGGCTCGACGTGCAGGAGAAGGAACGGGGTGGTTTTTAGTCAGTAAGAGTCTGACACTTCCTCCCGCCTCACCCAGGCGGGAGAAGTCATTCGAAGATTTTCCCCTCTTAAAAAAAAACCCTACTCTCCTCGTATCTATATATATAAAAATGAAACCCGTTTCCGTTGTCACTCCATAACTTTAGAACGGCTACACCGATTTGGCTGATTTTTTATTTGTTGTGTTAGTTATTATTAGGAGAAGGTTCTTAAGCCAGAAAAATCATGAAAATCCTACGGGAATGGAAGAAAACGCGATTGTGCGTACGAAGTCGCGGGCAGAAGCTAGTAATATTATAGAGGAAAGTGACCAAATATGGAATACCATTTTGTTTCTTACGCATAATTTTCCCAAACGTTGCAAATAATAAAACTTTTTGTGGTAATCACAACAATTATATATTTTCGCTTTATTTTGTAACAAGAATTGCATACTTTTAATACTTTTGGGTTAAAAATTAAAAAAAAATTAAACGACAATAATGTTACCTAAATTTGGAATAGGTACCCCAAATATGGAATAAGTGCTGTAAATACGATTAAAACTAAACCGGAACTTACATAAAACTCTTTAGAAAGGTTGGTACAACATAGAAAAGATCACAACGTATTTTCAAAAGTCACAAATCCAGGCACCAGTCTCTGCTCCGGGGCAATCAATATGTGCCCAAAGTCCACATATGAGGCACTTGACCCATGTTTCTCTATGAGTATCATTTGAAAACAGAATACCACAGAAAGTACACTCCGAATCTTCAGAGTCTGGAGTTGTATTTCCTATCAAAGCATCGGGCTCACTGTCTGTAT